CCCTCCCAAAAAAAAAAAAAAAAAAAAGCAGTGTCATTTGAACCCTGCTTGTATGTAGCCCTCTCCCTGGCAGGGGAGATGCTCTGATCACCATGGCAGAGGTCAGATCAGTCCAGGTGGCTTTCCAGTCCCTGGAAAGGCAGATCCTCTTCTCCCTGATATGTGATGGCTTTGCGTAGTTGAGGGATGGCACCACAGACCCGCCCTGCTACAAGGGTCTACTCTAGTCTCCCAATGGGAGGATCTTAGCTACACACTTTATTTTATGAAGATGGGGCATTTCTCCCTTTCTTGCCCCTTGAGCCTTCTGGCTAAGGGTAAGTGAGACTCAGGCATGTGAACCCCAACACCTCCAGACTTGGGGCTTGTGCATAGGATGCCTGCCATGGATTTGTGAGGATCTGAAGCTGCAGGCTGAAGAGTTTGGGGGATAAGATGCTTGCTAATGGTAACACCACACAGACCCGAGCCAGTGAGCTCTGCTCCGTAGATGGGATTTGGAACTGATTTGGCAAATCTGGCCTGAGACACGATATTAAAAGAACAAAAAAAATAGTTCAAGTAACTAGATGCTGATCACTACTTGTGCTCTGTTGTCTTGCACTAGTCTTTGTCTGTTTGCCTGTGCTTTTAGGTTATTTGCTGTGTAGGGCAAGGATCACACGCCTTCCTTTGCATGACACCTAACACCAGATTTGGTGCTATCAGAAACTATTGCAAAATGGCTTAAAAATAGCACTTCTCTATGTACAGTCATGTTAATGGTAGTCTGAATGTTTTTATAACTGCACCAGAGCAGGCTAGACAGTTGCCTGGCTGGTGGATTAGTCAGAGGTCCTGCCTTGAGCAGAGGGCTGGACTTCATGACTTTGAAGTCCCTTCCAGCCCTACTTATGATTCTAACACACCTCTAACTGTAGTAGCAGCAGCACCACCACACAACGGACTGGTACCAAAATGCATGGGTGAAGGTAGGGGAATTCCTGGAAGGGAAGGCTCACATGCTTGTATGGTAAACGTGATTGGCAGGAGTTGTTCAGTGCCAAACCCAGGCAGTTTCAATTGCTGGATGCATAGGTTTTGCGGTTCTGTTGCACTTGGATAACCTGGAATCCAGATGATCACGGTGAGCTAGCAATGATGCCTATGTGCTCAATTTAGATGGTGAGACTAGAGATAAGGCAGCTGGCCAGATCTGGTGGAGCGCAGGTGCCAAAGGAGTTGTTTGCAGTCTTCTAGTACCAGGAAGTGAAAGGTTGCAATTGTTTTGATGGAATAAGAAACACAAAACTTCCTCTAATAATCTCCTGGTGCATTTTTGGGCTTAGGTAGGTCTAGCAAGATCTGATTAAAAAAAACAACAACAACAACAACAAAACAAAAATCGGACCTCTTGTGTTGTCACTATACTGAGGTGTCTCAAGCTCTACATCTTCAGGTTGCAACAGGCATAAATAAATGGTAAGAACCATGGGATGTAGGTGCCAGATCTGGGTCCTTTTTGCACTGTTGTGTGAGTACTGTGCTGGAAAACCCAGGAAGTGAGGCTACATTTGATCTAGATTTAGATGATACAACTTGCAAGTTCTTTATAAGAACTAGCACAATCTAAGTAAATCCTGTTTCCATCTTTTCCCCTTTTTCTTTCTCATTAAAGATTTCTCTGTGTGTGCGCGCGCCTCGGTCACAAACTTGTGGTTGAACACACAGTCACTGGAAAATTAACTTACAAACCAAAACAGACAATTACCAGGAAGTTTTATGTATAGGATACTTGAGTAACACTGTTCTGGAGAACAGAAGTCAAGTATTTTTCAGCATTAATTGTTGCATTATTTTTAACATGGGTCAGTTTTGGCTGAGTTAAGGCGGGCTTGAAACATTGTTAAACTTCAGCACTTACCTCACTAATATAAAAAGGACCCCAGTCCTGGCTTCCTCATTCTACCATTTTAGTCCTTCTATTGACTCAAGTGGAAGTCTTACCTTAATAAGGTGGGCAGAACCAAGCCCCATAGCTGGAAATTCTGAGTTTACAGCAAACAAATGCTAAAAAAAAAAATCCTGTTTTGTTTCTTTCAAGATTCATGATGTTGACAGTTACATTCTTGGCTGCTTTTGTTCTTACTACAGTAAGTTCACAGGAAACTGAGGAAACCATAACATACACGGTAAGGTTTAACAGAGTTTGAGATAATTATTACTTAGCAGAGATTCTTTCCTAAATGACCCTGCAGAGAAACTGTGGTCTCTACCAATATACAGTGCTCAATTAAAAGTTCTGTAACGTTATATGTTAATCTTAGACTAAACTGCTTCTATAGTGAAACCGTGTCTTAGGATTTTAAACTTTGCAGGATTCAGCAGTTAGTTTTTCATTTATTTTGAAAGGTTGTTTTGGTTTGGGTTTGGGTTTGTTTTTGTTTTTGTTTTTTTTTTAAGGTACTGAACTAAGTTTATAAACTTAGTCTTTATAGCCAACTTTCACAAGGTTCTGAACACTTAGAAAGAAGTTTTGTTCTGTTTTATGGGTGGGGAAAAATAGAGGCTAAAAAGATAAGTGTAAAACAAAGTAGTATCATCCGTAATAGAAAACTTATTTTGACACATGCATTTCCTAATTCTAGGAAATAAGACCCTCAAAGCCTGAATAAAATGCGCGCGCGCACACACACACACACACATTTAGTAATTTTGTCTTAAGTAAATATGTGAAACACCACGTAGTTATGTAGTTTAGGAATTGGGTCAATTGTTTTGCTCCATTTCCCTTGGGAGGTTTCAACATGTTTTGACAACATGTATGTACTCTGAAATGTTAGCCTTAAAATGTAATGAACTGTGTGAGCTTTTTCTAGCAGGTATGGGGTTTGTTTTTTGTTTTTTTGCGGGGGGGGGGTTGTTTTTGGGGGGGGGGGTTTGTTGTTTTGTTTTTTTTTTAAAGGCAGTGTTGGTAATATTGTTAAGCAGTCATTTGTGAGCTCACAACCAAATTCAAACAGATACTGGAAATATGTTTTGTTTCCCAAAATTTGATGTGATTTTTAGAATAGGGCAGGGTGGTAGGTTGCTTTTCCATCTATGGTTGCTCACTAGTCTATATAATAAAAGGCCTGGTGAAAGCTGGCATTGATATTAACATGGATCAAAGAGGGAAAATCCCATGTTTTCATATTTGATCCCTATGAGAAGCAAAGGTCCTGCCCTGAAACTTGTTCCATATGGATGGACTCTTGTGCCTGCACAGAGCCCCATTGAAATCAGTAGAAATCCAAATAAGCACAGAGCATGCAGCAAGTTGTAGGATCATGGCCAAAAAGCCTGAGGTCATGCAGTTACAGCTTGCACAAGTAGTCTCATTTGAACTCAGTCAGATGGTTTGCCCGAGTAAGTATTCCAGGATCAATCTATGTATTATTGAGGGTTTTAAGATGTATAAGAGTTAGAGTTCAAAAGATGATTAGGCACCTGTGTCCCATGGATTTCAATAGTTTAAATGCATACAGTGAAATCCATGGGACTTGAACGTAGGCCCAAATACCTAGTATGCAGATGTCTTGCATGCACACACACACACACACACACACACACACACACACACACACCACCCCCACCCCTTTCTTTTTGTATTCACTAACAATTGTAGCATCCTCCTTGTAATCCTGCCTAATTTTGTTTTGACCTAATGTAAAATTCCAAAAAGTCCCTGAAAATGTTACACTCTTTTAATAGATTAATGTTTTTAAATTCACATAATATACAATATATGCCGAATCCTGGTTTCACTAAGAGAATCAAAGACAAAATTCCCAATTACTTTAGTAGGAGCAGAATTGGCTCAGCAGTGTGTAGTTGATACTACTTCTGTTGTGCATTAACAGGAATTAGGTGATTCAGTAAATACATGCATTTGCTGTTTTCCTGTGGGCTTGGGTTTTCATAGCTACAGTAACTTTGGTGGTGTCAACTCAGCATGTAGTCATTCCTTTAGAGAGCTAGAATTATAATACAATTAGCTGTGCTTTTACCCCTTCATAGCATTGGAGACTACTCTAGTTCAGTGCTGCATTTTTGGCAGATTACTAGTGTCACCTGTGACTAAACAATGTTTTAGCTTCTACTGATTCAATCTGCAATAGTAACAAGTTTCACAAAACAACTTCAAAATAGCACATTAAGTAACATGCACAACAATACTTGTCAAATTCACCCCTGGAGTAGCTCTGCTAAAGTGGAGAAATTACACCAAGAATTAAATTTTATTCACCATTTTTGGCTGCCTAATATACTCAACTTTCTTACTGTAATGTTATGGGAACAATATGCTAATCAGAACATGCACATACTACATGGCTTAGTTGATCCATTGATTCAGACCACATTTAATTACATAATACTGTTCAGTCATGCAATTTCAGTTGATAATTGGCTATTACATTCTGGAAACGAATGCTTTTGAAGAGACAGAAAATGTAGGTGCCTTTTTAATTTCTGGGGCTCATCACCTTAATCTTTCTCATGTTTGTAGAGCATGTTGATATGATTGATTACATGGACTGTAGTCTCATTGGCTTTGACAACCATATTCATAGTCCCAGCAATAACGGTTTTAACACCCTCAATTTTACTGCAAGTCTTGCAATAGTTGGTGTTTTTCCTAAAATAATTATGTAACACTATCAGTATCCCTTTATCCTGAATGTAGTTTGTAGTCATCACGTTTGATGGAAAAGCTTGAGAAAATGGACCTTAACAGTTTAAAAGGAAAGGCAAATAAAGAACCCACAAATGATTTTTAATTCTTATTCTCTAGTCTTATTCATGACTTCTGAGTTGACAGTATTATAGTACTGTTGAAGTCAAAACAAGTAACAGTTGGCAGGATCACCACTTTCAGCTGTAATGGGTTAAAGTAGTTTAGCACCATCTTCTCTCCCTGAGTTCTGGAGGCATTGAAGGTGCTCACTGCTCAGGACACGCTGAGCACTTGAGAGCAAAATTTACAAAAGGATCATTCATTTCCCCCACAACTTGCATTTAATCTTGTTGCAATATTGCTGTGTAACAACTATTTTTGGTTTTGCCCTCAATGTAGAAACAACATAAGCCTGACTTTTTTTTTTTTTTTTTCTTTTTTTATGATTTAAGTTTTTTATTTGTGTTGCTGGACAATGTTTATAGCAGTAGCAAGTACATACTGATTGTTTGTTTGTTTTTTGTTTATTTTTGAAGTATTAATTCATTTTTTCCTGCATTTCCTTTTTCTGCAGCAATGTACAGATGGCTATGAATGGGATCCCTATAGGCAGCAGTGTAAAGGTACTGTATGTCATTACAAAAGAAAGACTACTTAATTATATTTTTAGTAGTTTCTAGTGTATTATCTTCCAAATCTCTCAAATGATTTTGGACAGTAGAACCATGCCTGCATGCCTTGCTATGTTACTTGTATTTAAAATCTCAAAGATTCCATATTAAAGCATGACTTCTGTTGTTGCTAACCACAGATATTGATGAATGTGAAATTGTCCCAGATGCATGTAAAGGTGGGATGAAATGTGTTAACCACTATGGAGGATACCTCTGTCTACCTAGAACAGCCCAAATTATTGTAAATGAGCAAGATGCAGCAACTGCTGATTCCGCTGGTGGACGGAACAGCGTAATTCGACGTACCCCTGTGGATGTTCAGCAAGGACCTCCAAATCCAACTCATCAAATACAGTGTGCAACTGGGTATGAGCAAAGCGAACATAATGTATGCCAAGGTAAGCAAGTTGCCTCATGTATACTTTGAGCACAAATATATTTTCTGTGATGGAAAAATCAATGGTACACCTAGAGAGAGCATAGGAGTTTCATCCGTCAGCAGCTGCATTGCTGCGTCACTGTATACTTGTATAGTTTCTTAGAATGTCCTTCAGAATTTGTTATTTGTATTTTACCATCATGGGACATGACAGTGTGTTTTCAGTTTTTCTGCAGACTTAACAACCTTATGTGTTCCCGCTATGGAGGCTAATTAACAGAATAAGTCCTTCTGTTTGCCCATCTTTATGTAACGCCTAGGAAAACAAACTTGTTTATGTCATGTGTTTTGGGTTACATTAAATGTGTTTAAAGATGTACTGTCTTGAAGAGAGTCCAGAATTTAATATGTGAAAAGCAGCAAAGGATATCCCTTCAACTTCAGATTTGCTTAAAATTTCCCTAAATCTCTTCAATTTCAAAGAAGCCAACATACTCTAAGAATGGGTGGACCGGTCTCAACTGAGATGGGGGCGTGTGTGGTTAAAAAAAAAAAAAAAAAAAAAAAAAAAATTGGTAGTACAAGAACAGACTTTATGAAGGTAAGAGAGGGAAATGCATCAAGAGGTTGACTACCTAAATGGCAAACGCTTCAATGAGTTACAATTCAAGAATGAATCTTAAGAAAAGTAGAAACTTTGTTTATATTACTAGGGAAAAGTATAAGAATACTTCATGGGCACACAGGGAAAAGACCAATGAATGAATTGAGATACTTCTAACATACTTGTAGAACGGATTTTTTGCTATTTTATGCCCTTTGGTAGCTGTAAGAGGAAGACCTAGGAAAGCATTGGATCCCTTACTGAAGGATAATCTAATAATGGATGATGCAAAGAAAGGAGAGGTATTTTAGTGTCTTTTTACTTCAGCCTTCCTGAATAAGGTCTAGTTATCAGATGATGAGCATAGTTTAGCAGTAACACTACGGGTGGAGATAATCTACTTAGAGAAGCCATGGCAACGTAGTGTCATCAGGCACAAACCGTGATGTTGATACTACATTGCTGTAGCAATGAGCTACCTCACTACAGCATGTCGCTATGGCGACGTAGTGTCTAAAAAATAATGTGCACTGCTGGGACAGCATAGTAATGGCTGTTACTGCACCATTAGTTAGTACTTCCTCAGTACTAAACAACAGCACAGTACCAACTGTGCCATGGGGCGTGGAGGGATATATGTAGATGTGCCCAATAGGTTGGAAATTACTTGAACAATCTGGGCTCAATGAGATGTATTCTAGAGGACTAAAGAATTCACTGAAGTGATTGCAGAGCCATTCATTGGCTTTAGAACTTGTAGCAGTCAGATGAGGTTCCACATGACAGAGAGAGGCAAATAAAGTACCCATCTTTTAAAAAAGGGAAGGAAGTGCATCCCAAGAATGATATCCCTGTCAGTCTGAAGCAGCTGGAGCATCTTATATCAGATTCCCCATGCTAAAAAAATGGCTGCAGGGGTGCTTTAACTAAAGCTTCTTGAACAAGCTTTAGTTAAAGTGCATCTGTTGCCATTTTTCATCATTGAGACCATGCTAGAGTGCAATAATTACCATGCTCCAGCAGACTCAATCAAGTCTGCTCTGACATGTAATTGTAGCCTTACTGCATGTGTATAGGCACCAATAGAAAGTTAGGGTTGGAAGGGACCTCAGGAGGTCATCTAGTCTAACCCCCTGTTCAAAGCAGGACCAGCCCCAACTAGATCATCCCAGCTAATGCTCTGTCTACCTGTATCTTAAAATTACACCAGCTCCTTGGGTAGCCAGTCCCACTGCTTTACAACACTCCTTATGAGAGTTCTTCCTCATATCTAGCCAGATGTCCCTTGCTGCACCTTGAAACCATTGCTCCTTGTCACATTATCTGCCATCACTGAGAACATTCTAGCTCCATCCTCTTTGCAACCACCCTCGGGTAGTTGAAGGCTGTTATTAAATCCTGCCTCAGTCATCTTTTCTCCAGACCAAATAAGCCCAATTCTATTGCCTCTCAGAAGTCATGTGCCCCAGCCCTCCAACCATTTTTGTTGCCTTCCGATGGACCAACTGGAGAGAGTCCAGACCTTTTGGGGGGGAGCTGAAAACTGGACACTACTCCAAATGTTGCCTTGCTAGAGCTAAATGGAGGGAAATAATCACTTCCCTCAAACTGCTGGCAATACTTCTGCTAATGCAAGCCTGTGTGCTGTTAGCTTTCTTCTCAACAGGGGCATACTGTTAGCTTATATTCAGCTTACTGTCTGCTGTAACCCCCAGGTCCTTTTCTGCAGAGCTGATACTTAACCAGTCAGCCCCCAGTCTGTACTAGTGTGTGGGACTCTCTTCCATCCTAAGTGCAGGACTTTTTACTTGTCCTTGTTGAACTCCATGAGATTCCTTTTGACCCAATCCCCCAATTTGTCCAGGTCTCTCTGAATCCTGACCCTACCCTCCACATATCTACTACTCGCCCCCATCCCCCAGCTTGGTGTCATCTGCAAACTTGTTGAGGGTGCAATCTATCCCATTTCCCAGATTGTTGATATTGAACACAACCAGTCTCTGGAGCTCTCCACTTTAATACTGGCTTCTGAATGGCATTGAGCCATTGATTACTAGCCTTTTAGCCTGACAATCCAGCCAGGTTCCACCTTTCTGTCCATTCATCCAACCTGTACTTCCTTAGCTTGCTTGCAAGAATGTTGTGAAATACAATATCAAAAACCTTGCCAAAAATCAAAGTATGCCATGTCCATTGTTCTTCCTGCATCCGCAGAGCCAGTCATCCCATAATAGAAGGTAATCAAAACAGTCAGGCATTACTTGTGCTTGGTCAATCCATGCCAACTGTTCCTAATCACCTTCTCCTATAAGTACTTAAATGGATTTGATGAGGACCTACTTCATGATTTTCCAGAGACTGACTGGTCTGTAGTTCCCTGGATCCTCCTCCTGCCCTTTCTTAAAGATGGGGAATTTATATTTGCCCTCTTCTAATCATCTGGGACCTCTCCCAATCACCACAGGTTTTTTCAAAGGTAATAGCCAACAGCTCTGCAATTGCATCAGCTAACTTCCTCAGCACCCTCAAGTGCACTTTCTGGTCTAATGGTGTTGTACACATTCAGCTGTTCTAAATATTGCTGAACCTGTTCTTTTGCCACTGCTGGCTGCTCACCTCCTCCCCAAACTATGCTGCCAGGTGCAGTAGTCTGGGAGCTGACCTTGCCTGTGAAGACTGAAGTGAAAAAGCATTAAGTACTTTAGTGTTTTCTGCATCCTCTGTTACTAGGTTGCCTCCCTCATTCATTAAGGGACCCACACTTTTTTTTCCTCTGATCCTGTTCTTGTTCCTGACATACTTGTAGAAATTCTTGTTACTGTTCACATCCCTTGCTAACTACAACTCCAATTGGGCTTTGGCTGTCCTGACTTCATCCCTGAATGCCCCAGCAATATTCTTATACCCCTCCCTAGTTGTTTGGCCAAGTTTCCACTTGTAAGCTTCCTTTTTGTGTGTTAGCTAACTGAGTTCCCTGCTAAGCCAAACTGGTCTTCTGCCATACTTGCTAGTCTTCCTGCACATCAAGATGGCTCATTCCTGCACCCTCAGTAAAGTTTTTCTTTTTAAAGTACAGCCAGCTCTCCTGGACTCCTGGGGGATCCTATCAGTTCCCTGAGTGAGGCAAATTCTTTGTTTTCTGAAGTCCAGGGTCCTTACTATGCTGCTCTTCTTCCTTCCCTTCCTCAGGATGCTGAACTCTCTCAATCTCATGGTCACTGCTGCCCAAGTTGCCATTCACCACTACACACCCCACCAATTCTTCCCTGTTTATAAGCAGCAGGTCAAGAAGAGCATGACCGTTAGTTGGTCTCTCTAACACTTTTTCCAAAAGCTTCCTGGATTGCCTGTGCACTGCTGTATTTCCCTCTGGCAGAGGTCCGGGTGACTGAAGTCCCCCATGAAAACTAGGACCCGTAATCCAGAAATTTCCACTAGTTGTTTGAAGGAAAACTTCCACCTCCTAGTCTGGTCTATACCAGACACCCACCATGACATCACCCTTGTTGCTCTCTCCTCTGACCCTAGGCCTGCTGAAAATCTCAGAGTTATCTCCAGTGTTTTGTTGTTTTTTTGTTTTTTTTTGTTTTGTTTTTTTTTTTTTTTTATACTGAAGCTCTGAGCAAGCAAACAGCTCTTTTACATAAAGAGCAACTCCATCCTCCTCTGTTCTCCCCTGGCTGTCCTTCCTGAACAGTTTATACCCATCCACGACAGTACTCCAGTCATGTGAGCTATCCCAAGTCTGTTATTCCAATTGCATCACAATTCTGTTACTGTGTGAGGACTTCCAGTTCTAACTGCTTTTTTCCCCTCGGGCTCCATGCATTCATGTACAGACACATGAGGTAATGAGCAGACTGTCCTAGTTTCTCAGGAAGAATGAGAAGGACTCCCTTGTAGCCCCATCTTGCTTGTGCTTCCTCCAGATCACCCACTTTCCCCACTTACCTCAGGGCTTTGGTCTTCATCCCCCAGCAAACCTAGTTTTCAAGCCCTCCTCACCAGGTTAGCAAACTTGTCTGCAAAGATGCTCTTCCCTCTCTTTGTCAGGTGGATCCCACTGCTTTCCAGCAACCCTTCTTGGAGCAGTGTCCCATGATTTGAAGACGCTAAACCCCTGCCGGTAACAACATCTCTGCAACCATACATTGATTTGCAGGAAGTTTTACCCAGATCCTTCCCTTTGACTGGAGGATTGAGGAGAACATGACCTGTGCCCCTTTCCCCTTCACCCTTGTACCCAGAGCCCTGTAGTCACTTCTTTGATCTGGTCAGGGTCCCCCCCCCTACCCCCTGGTAGTATCATTTGATGCCCACATGGATGAGCAGCTTGGGGTAGTAGTCAGAGGACCCGATGAGTCTCAGTAATCCTTCCATGACATCTCTGATTCATTCTCTGGGCAAGCAGTAGA